ATATCTTCTCCCTTCTAGTGTACTAAAATCCTGCCAGTTTATCTGCTTACCTTTTGAACAGGCTCCAGCTATGAACTCTCTTAGCCACTCGATCACTTCTAATCCTTCCAGCAATATTGTACCCTTTTTCGCTTCCCTTACCTTCAGGCTTATCTTCCCCTTGATTCTCATCTCTTCGAACAAGAGATTTTTTGCTTCTATCTTCAAGGATCTCCTCCACTGACTTGCCTGCACGAACTCCATCCGGCGTTTTAGGGCCCATTGAAATTTTGGCAAATTCTCAACCCAAACCCACCATTGAAATGTTGACAAGATTAACAAGAAGCATGGGCACTGCTTTGTTGAGCTATTAGGAGCCCGTCAGCAAGGGAACTTACCAAGGGCTGAACTCCTTTCTCTTCTTCATGATCTGATGCTTGCTTTCCCTTCAGGTCGGACTGGTTTACCTGTTTAAGGGGATTGTAGAGTGATGGTTGCTCTGATGTCAACTAGAACAGAAGGCCCATGTTCCCTTAGATATCATATTGGAGAAGTTAAGGCATTGTCATCTAGGTTGAATAGCTCATCCAAATGGTCAATAACCTGTGTTAGAATGAGGATCCCAGGTCTTGTACACAAACTAGAGGCTGAACGTAGTGCTTTTATTTCCATTTCCAGTGTTTCAATGATTAGTTATGCTGGTATGGTTCCCAGATACCTCTACATGTGTGTTGTATTGTGCTGGACGCTTCAAGTTTTAGTGAATTTCTTTTTTATCATTAACTCAGCAGATTCTTTATTGATTTGCAATAAAAAATGGGTGAAATATAAGCATGCCAAGCACCCCCAAAATATTTTAGGCTAGTTGAGTTGAGTAACCCATTAGTATCCTTTTTCCTTTAGTGTAAATTTCATGTCCTACACTTTATCCATGTCCTAACTGTATCTGGATCACACATATGCTGTGTACATGATAATGAAATAAAAAACATCAAGAACTGCATATGATGACAAAACTCATGGTCCAAAGCAAATATTTAGATCATGTGCCATTCTGCAGTTGTGTTCACAAGGGATAATCTAGGAGAAGGTATGTGAAGCTCTAACTGGTGTATCCTTTGGATCAGGCCTATTCCTTCTCAACAGTCTTTCCCTGTTAAGGCAGTTTGGTGCATGCCTATTCCCCCTAAGGTTGTGGTCTTTTTCTGGGAAGTGTTCTATGGGAAAACAAAAGAGAAGACTGTCCCTTTGTATCTCACCCAACTGATGTATCCTTTGTAAGTCCCATGGTGAACAGGTGAAGACTGTTACCACTTACTAATTTCCTGTTCTTTTTACTGCAAAGTTGTGGGATCAGATCCTTCTGATGTTTGGGCGTAGATGGAACAAACCAGCGGAAGTAAGCTTGCTTTTTTATCCTTCTACCTTTGCCTGGCGCCAAAGAAGAGGGAGATTAATGTGGAGATGTGCAAGAGCAACCTTGATTTGGACCGTTCGGGAAGAAAGGAACACCAGAGTATTTCAAGAGAATGAGAGAAATCTATAAGAGCTAAAGGATTGCATCTTGAACAGGGCTATCCAGTGGTTGAAATTCTCGGAGCTTTTCCACCATTTCTCCTTTAATGACTTTTGGAGGAATTGGTTTGTAGTGGCAAGCTGCTCCTCTTTAAAGACTAGAGTAAGTGTAAATTGGGGACCACCATTTCTCCTTTAAGAAGTGATTTGTTGCCAGTTGAAGGGGTTATAAGGGCTAGGCGTAGACCAAAACGAACAGGGGCAGAAGTAGTAAAAAAATTATTTAAGTGCCAATAATTTAACAATGAATATGCCATTAAACGGAACAGAATGGCAAAACAGGATTCATGTATCCGACCCCATATAATTGGGATAAGGCTTGAATGATGATAATCATGATGATATTACTTGTTTTTACAATTGTCCCCCAAAAATCTCACCCCTAATGACAACTTTTGGCCAATGCATCTACCAAGCAGTTAGCTGCTCTTGGAACTAAAGAAGCGTTGGTAACATTTCCCTTGCCAGGCTTCTTATTTCTCTCATGATGTATCTATACTGTCACATTCATTTCTACTACCTTTCTACCAACCCACCACCACTTCTTAATCCCCCTCAACTGTCACATCCCTGAAGTTTAGGGATATCTTCCCAGACTTAGGCCATGCAGAACTGCCAACACTTTGGCTCTTGACAAAACTCATATTAGATGTTCGTATATGTTCAGATCAGAAGAAAGAGAAGGAAAAGAGAGAGAGAAGAAGGAGACCATACATGGGTCCACCACCACCACCACGATTATACATTCCACCACCACCACGACCATACATGGGTCCACCACCACTACCACGTCCACGCTGACCTCCTCTACCACCATGGCCTCCCCCTCTCGTAACTGCAAATGCGGACCTATCTGACATAGTGGAAGTCTCTATGGCTCCAACTGAAAACCTCCGAAGACGAGCAAACACTTCCTCAAGAGAGGGAAGAGCAGATCCACCTAATATCTATGCCCTAACAGGTTCATACTCAGATTTCAGCCCTACTAAAAATCTGGTCACATCCAACTGCTCTCTTTGTTGTTGTTGAACTTTGACATCAAGTGTAAGAGGATGATAAACATTCAACTCATTTCGTAAATTTCTCATACTGGCATAATAGTCCTCAAGGCTCTGATTCCCTTGTTGTAGATTGAAGTACTCTACAGTTGGTAAACCCTAGTAGTGTTATCTTGTCCAAAATATAGTTTCCTTACATAATCCCAGACTTCCTTGGTTGTATCTAAAAAACATGAAGTTCACACTAATTTTGGACTCCATGCTGTTCCATAGCGAAGTCATAATTTGAGCATCCTCCTGCTCCCATTCATCATATCCCAGAGAATCAATTGAGGGTTTATCTTCCCTCACATGTTTCACTTTCTTTTTGGCTTTCAGGAAAACTTCAACAGACTTAGCCCAAGGGACATAATTCTCACCATTCAGTTTTATAGAGGTCATCTGCACATT